CCGAGCTCAAATAGCTACATAATAATAATAATAATAATAATAATAATAATAATAAATTATAAAAAATAATATATAATATTTTTATTTATATATAATAATAACTAATTATTATAATTCTTAATTTTTAAATACCAAATAAAAATATTTTTATATATAATTTTTTTATTTTTATAAAATATTTTTCTCAAGTCAAGCTTGAGCCGAGCTTGAGCTTACAAGCTTTTGACTTGAGTCGAGCTCGAATTCAAGATTCTAGCTCGAACCGAACTCGAGCCTCATGCTGCCTTGGCAAGCCAAGCTCAAATAGTTTGGCTCGGCTCAAATCCACTCCTACTCACAAGTGACGCCCTATTGTATAGTCCCATAAAAAATAATATAAAACTTGGGGTAACCCTCTCCTTAACCTTCAATCCCTACGGAGCAGGATTCAATCTCAAATCTCCATTAAGACCAGTTGGACCTTACTAGTAAGCTAGCTGACACCTTCAACCATATGCAATCAGATACATGAATCCCGTCTCATGGTACTTTTTGGGCACCTAAATAGATTTATTTTTGGGATTTTCATTGGTTCTTCCGCCTATTCCTTATAAATTTTTATGTTAGAAATCTATCACAACCATTTTTTGCCCCAAAACCATTGATTTAATTAGCAGACCGCTGACCCAAACAATCAAACCATTGACCTAGACAACGGTTTTTGGCCGTTTTTTATTATTTATTATTTTAAAATTTTTTAAGTCATGACAGGCCATTCATTCAAATTGGATGGCCAGACATAGGGGTCATTATGGGCCAGGTCAGGCCGAGCTTTGCACTTATGATAAGGGTTATAGCTTAGGCCCAGGTCCGGCCCGACCCAGGGTTCTGGGCTTGAAACATAAGCCCTAGCCCAGGTCTACACGGTCCCGAGTCGGGCCAGGCCTGATTTTGGGCCAATATCTTTTATATATAAAAATATTATATATCTATAATATTTTATATTAAATGACATAACATGCATATAAACTTATTTTATACATTATATAATATAAATTATATATGTCATGTTATAATATTTATATATATATATATATAATATAATTTAATATAAAATAACATATATACATTATACACAAAATGTGTAAATTTAAATATATATGGGCCAAGCTGGGCTTAAAGTATTAAACCCAAGCCTGACCCTAAAATTTGCAGAACTAATGTGGGCCTGAACACAAAATCCAGACCCAAGCCCAGAATTTTCAGACCGGGCTGAAATGATCACCCCTAATCAGACCGCTTGAGTTAAAAAGCAGTACCAGAATGATTCTCTATCCGACCCTAATATTTAATCAACAATAGTTGTCTCTCTCTCTCTACTCATGAACTCATCTACCCATCTACATTTATCCATTATCTAAATAGGCGCTTTTGCTGACTGTATGGCAGGTGTTGTGGATGATCATGTATGGGAACATGTGGTGGTGGATAAAATGTTGCTGACTCGGATCCACGTTGAGAGGACTGTGCTTCTTTTTATCAATTATTGGTTATTCTTTTGTCTTCAACTCTTGATGGGTGGTGGATGCTTCAAATTGTAGTTTAGCTTGTATATTGGATTCCATGATCACAACAAAAATCAAACAATGAAGATCCATGTGAAATGACTTGTAATCCTTGTACTTTGTATATTCGAGATGATTAGAAAAACCGAAAGAAACTTCTCAACAATCTCTCTTTCTGTTTCCATGCTTTCGGTCTATTAGCAAGCACCAAACCTTTGTCCAACTGAAAGGAAAAAAAAAAAAAACAAATGAAAAGAGGAAAAGAAAAGGGTTTGTGAAAGGGTGGACCCGTTCTTTTCCTCTTCCTTTTTCAATTTAAATATAATTAAATATGTTCTCGTTAATAATTGATTCAGGGGTGTTCTTGTTTTCATTTGTTTTTGAAATTTACCACATCAGCAATAAAACAAAAAACGTGTTTTTGAACTCTGTTTTCTGTTTTGAAAGGTAAAAAAATAGGTTTTTTTTTTCAAAAAACAATGCATGTTTTTACATAGAACCATCAAAATAATGATTTTTAAAACAAAAACAAATTTTGTAGTTGTAGAAGTTATATAATTTATGGAATATGATATTAAATAACCAGAGAAAACATGCTTTTGAACCCAAAGATTCAATAACATGTTTTTGGTTTTAGTTTGTTTTCGGAACCAACAACAAGAAAAACAATTTGTGCTGTGAAACACCCCATTATATAATTTATGGAATATCGATGATTATGGCTACAACATAGTAATCATCACATCATCATCTAAAGCCTTCTACCAACTATATGGGGTTAGCTACATGAATCCTGTTTCGCCATTTACTTTCTATTAAGTGCAATGTCTAGGCCTTAAATCATTTTTTATTACTTCCACCTAAATCCTTTTTAATATATTCCTAGCTCTTCTAAAAATTTCAATAATAATAACTCAATTACTAGTTATCTTCTTTTTCGGTTTCCTAAACAATTTGTTATTCAGATTTACATATAAATAACTAAGATAAATCTGAACTATTAAATATTATTAAGAATGAAGAAAATTATTAGTAAGGTTGCAATTTGGGCCAGGTTTGATTAAAGGGTCTGTCCCAAATCTGAGTACAATTTGGGTCAAGTTTATTTGGTTGCAGAAGTTCTTTATGTTCTCCTTCATCCAGTTCTATATGTTGTTCTCTTGAGAAATTATTTCTAGGTTTTCTGATTGGCCTTTTTAGTATTTTTTGTATCAATTTCTTGATTAAATGAAATATAACACCTATGGGCGGTTCAAAAAAAATGAAGTTAAAGTTCTTTAAATTGGGCAACTGAATTTATATGTATCACCTACTTTAGCAATTATCATCATCATCATCATACAAATCTTGTCCAGGATCAGTTAGTTGAATCATGTTTTGTCATTTTATTCTGTCCTGTGCCATACCAATTGCTAAATCATTCAACTTCTTTGCCCTACCCCCAATTCCTCTGAAGAAAATTATAGTTATCAACAATGAAACATATAGAAAAAAGGTGTAGTTGAAAATTAAAGAGAGAAAGAGAGAGAGAAAATAGGAAAACTTTATAATCATATAAATAGTTATTCTGAAGACAAAATTATACTCTTAAATAAGGTGACATTTTATTCTAAAATCAAAATAATATTTAATGTACTGTTCCGAAAGGCAAAAAACTTTGGGGGTATCAATGATTGTGCTACCAAGTTGGATGATCACAAGACAATATTTATTGTCCACTTGACTTTTTTCACTTAGCTGCACTTGATGGCTGTGAAAAAATTTAGCTGCTGGGAACGTTTTTGGGCATCACATGTCCATCCATTCATGACATGTCTACCCATTCATTTTGAGCTGTCACCTATTCCAACTGTACTTTAGGCCTAAGAATTCTGAGGTTGGGTTGAACGGTCATTCTCCCGTTACTCTTTTATCCTATATCCATGATAACATGTCATGTCCAAGAACATTTGCTATTGAACCCTAACTGCCAAAGTTTTTTCGATGACTGTGTTAGGGGCCGTTTAATGTCCATTCCACATCAGTCATGCATTCGAATATGTGTGAGACTGGAGTGGTTGTGGGGCATATACACTTGATAGCTGATATGGAGCATTATTATTGGTTAAACAATCCCTAACACAGTCATCAAAGTGATGCTAATCCGGGTTGAAAATGGACATGGGTGAAAGTCGGATTACCCACTTTGAAGAATTTCAAGCAGCCACCTTATCTAAACCTCCCAATGGTATAGCCAGATGGACAACAGATAATTTGGTAAGAGAAAACGGGTTGGCCATAAAATGGGATTTTAAGTTGCTTTCTCATTTAATCTCTTAGAATGTGTTGTGATATGAAAGCCAGCTGACAATTGATTGTACATAAATGAATGTCTATCCTCTAAATTTGGCAGTTGTCATCACTGTTACCAATACACGTATGAACATTATTTATCCAGATAACAAATTGAATGGAGGACCCAACACCATTACCTTTTAGCAACCTACCCATTTTAATTATCCAAATTGGATAGACATCTTTGGATTCTTTTCCCTTTTTTTTCTTAAAAAAATGAAAAGAAAATAAGAAGGGAGATTTGTTGAGGATAAGGCCCAACTGGAACGTAATCCATTCTAACAATTAGTGAACTGGACTTCGTGGGCCCAACCCAACAAAACATGAACGTCTCAGCAAGTGAGTTTAATGTTTAAATAAAACAACATTAATTAATACATTTAAAATACACCCTAGTTCCCAGCCATTTGATCGGCGGGCCATGCCCAATCGCCAATCCAAATCGGGTCATGGACCCTCATTAGAATATAACTAATAAATTAATACTTGATAGTGTAACTTTGTGCAGTACCTGAAATTTTCTACACAAACAAAAGCAAAAGCAGCTCTTCACTATTGTTGACCCGACCAAGTCAGTGGTTTCGGGTAGTTAGTTGCCCGTTGGAACCGACTTTTCTTGACTCTTGATCCGATCCTCATTGTCATCCCAAGGACTGTTTCCTGCAGTGTAAACGTGTTGACGACCACCAAGTATGACCTTTCATCATCTGATCTTTAATTCACAGGTTTTGAATAGTTGTTGTCCTTTGAAAACGGGTCAGCTCTGACCCACCCCGGCCGTGGGGTTGGTCCGACCCAAGTTGCACTAGTCTCAGGCTCAGCTCAGGTGTAGCCAGTTATCTCACACGAGATTCCGTTCTGTTGGTTGTGGTGGGATCCGAGCCTGATCTCACACTGTTAATGGGTGGGTAAGATTTTTCTCTCTTTCTCTTTCCTTTTCTCTTTACTCTTTAAAAGATTTTTTTAAATTATTTTAGTTTTTACTAAAATAAATATATTTTGAGTCTGAGTTGAGCCCGTGTAGAGAACAAAAACAACTGCACGGCGCTGGTATAGGCGACACGTGGATCTGTAATGTAATCCAACGAGGCACTAGTAGTCAGTCGCTCTCTCTCTCTCATGGTTTTGAGAGGAAAAAACAAAGCAGAGGATGTGAGTGGGGGGGGGGTACGCGTTCGTGTTCAAGAAGGAAATGGAAGCACACCCAGTTCTCCTTTCTCCTTTCTCCTTCCTCTCCTCCTCTTTCTATTTCTGTTTCTCGAATCTTACTGGTTCCGTCTGGCCATCCCCCTCCTCTTTTTTCTCTGTGAAGTGGTCGTAATTGAGGGCTACGGGTTAGCAGACATTCATTTGCTTCGGCTCACCGCTCATGGGGGCCGGTATGTCTGGTTTCGTTATATCGGAGAGTGGTGAACGGGATTCTCCTGTCAAGGTTGGTCTCGGTGATATACCGGAAAGTTGTGCCGCTATGGTTCTTATGTATTTGGATCCGCCTGAGATTTGTAAATTGGCACGGCTCAATCGAGCTTTTCGTGATGCTTCCTCTGCTGATTTTGTATGGGACTCTAAGTTGCCTTCTAATTATCGTTACCTCATTGAGAAAGTGTTCGATCAAGTCCCTCACTATTTGAGTAAGAAGGAGATTTACGCCAGATTGTGTCACCCCAATCCCTTCGATGGAGGCACCAAAGTATTTGGCTTACTGGGATTTATTATTTTCCTTCCTTTTCTAGTTTTTCTGTTTTAAATTTTGCCAATAGTCTTTGTAAAATCTTTTATCTTTTCGCAGGAACTATGGCTGGATATGAGCACAGGTGGGACTTGCCTGTCTATCTCTTCTATGGCCTTGTCGATAACAGGGATAGATGATCGGAGGTATTGGAAGCGCATCCCAACTGAGGAGTCTAGGTATTTATAAGCAAAAAAAGTAGCTCTCTTCTTAAAAGTTCCAAGTATGCTTTTGCTATATGGCATGGACATAGAAAATATTCTCTCTTTGGGATTGTGTCTTCCTGGACTCTGCTAAATTTCTGTACAGTTAGGATATAAATGTCATACTCGAGTTTCTGCGAATTCAATGGGGAGGGGAGGGGGAGAATTGATGTTGGTTTCATTTAATAACTGGCCTCCTTTTCTTAATCTTTGTTTCTCGAAGAAAATCCAACGTGATCTAAAACCCATGTGATTCTTCCTTTTCTTTTTAAGAAAATTCTGAAACAAAAGTTTCTGATTTAGGAAAGGTGCATAAACAAAAGTTTCTGATGGATGAAACATCTATCAACAAGTTTTCTTTATATCTAAGTCCTAAATTTTAGATTTGTGTCATCCAAACATTGTTCACTGTCCATAAATTCACAGGGTGTCTTCTGAATAGGTTCATTTGACACAGACTTCTGTCAGCATGTTCATAGATCTTAATAACTGCCATTCCAGTTTTGAATAGGTTCATTTGTTTGCTTTATCCTAGATCTGAGTTCTCGATTGATGATTCTGGATTCAGTTTGGTTGTCCTGAATTGTTAATAGATCTTAATAACTGCCATTCCAGTTTTGAGTGTTTTAATAAATCACATTCTTCTACACAGAGTTATATCTAGAAGCTTAGCACCATAACTACTGCATGCAAATTCAGTCATCAAGGATGATTAATACTTCCATGTTGTCTTGATATACAATTAAGATAGAGGAATACTGACCTGATTAAAGGATTTTGCAGATGTAAAGGGGAATTCCTATCCTTTAGGTTTACCCACCAATTAGCAAAGCTTGCTGTTAGAAAATGTTAAAACTAACCTTAAGACTGCTGACCGTTGGGCATCTAAGGCAGCTTAGGGAAGGTCGATACTTACGAATATAATAGAACTTCCCTCCATTCGTTTATGTGATGCAAAAGCCTACCTCTACGAATTTGATATGTTTTGGCTATTATTTTTCCTAATCTATGGTCTAGTTTCCCCTGTTTCATGCAGTCCTGTTGACAGGACCCAAAATGAATAACATTCACTGACAAATCTTGCTGCTTTCATTTACAGTTTCTAGAAGATGAAATGCATGGTTTAACTAAAGCTATTTTTAAACTTGACTCCCCTTAACTCTGTAGTATGGAGTATAAACTCAATTTGATGGTTTATTTTCTTCTCCAATTCAGAGTGCCCGCTGTTGTCTTTGGTTGGTTAATGCTTAATGGGGAAAAGCAATTCATTTTGTGAGAGAGAGAGAGAGAGAGAGAGAGAGGAAGGGAGGGAAGGAGCAAAAAGAAATTGACCTGCTGAGCTTTGAAGTTATTGTGTACATTATCAAGGTGGAAATGGACTTGTTGATGGAGTCTATGAGGCTAGCCACAAGTTACATCTGAAATTCTTATATCAAACAGGTTTTAATGACTCACTATTAATTGAACCTTTGCCCTCAATTTTAGCACCTTGTTTGTCATTGATGACGCATCCCATATAATTTGGATTCCTCAGCGTAATATTGTTTTCCACTCTTGACGTAGAGTGGCAGGTTAGCGGCAGTTCACATGCTTTTTGAGTGACACTAAAGAAACTATGATCTATGTTGAATGTATTGTCAATCATTTTTCATTTTCTTTCTTTATCCTGCTACGTTAATTGATTTGTCATTCAAGATTAATGGGCATGGACATCTTTGTTTTTTCTTATCCATATGGACCATTTGTACATTGGAGTAAGATAAAAGCAGTCATTGATCTGCTGTTATTATGTTTCCTTGTAGATTCTGTTCAGTTGCATATCTTCAGCAAATCTGGTGGTTTGAGGTAGATGGACAGGTAGAATTCCAGTTTGCAGCAGGAACATATAGCCTGTTCTTCAGGCTTCATCTCGGAAGAGCCTCCAAGAGACTTGGTCGCCGTGTCTGTAACCCAGAGCATGTCCATGGTTGGGACATAAAGCCTGTTCGTTTCCAGCTATCAACTTCAGATGGTCAACACGCCCTGTCCCAGTGTTATTTGGAGGAACTGGGGAACTGGGGTCACTACTATGTAGGGGACTTTATCGTAGAGAATCCCAGCATACCCACAAAGATAAAGTTCTCAATGACCCAGATTGATTGCACACACACCAAGGGAGGTCTCTGTGTAGATTCTGTGTTAATATGCCCTAGTGAGTTTAGAGCCAGGTTAAAGCGTTTTTAAGTTGCTGTTAACCTTGTGTAGCTAGCAAGTTATCTTTTAGCATCTATATTCTATAGAGTTGGGAATTGAAATAGCTCAGAGAGAGAGAGAGAGAGAGAGAGTCAAGTAGAGTTTGGTTCCTTTGGGCAAGCCCACAAGCAGCAGTTTGTTGTAAATCATAGAAAATTAGCATTTAGCAATATGTATATTCTGTTGTTCTTTATTTGTGTAATTGTTTGTTGATTTATTTTTTCTTTGATTCTTTTCCCTCTGTAGAGAGGTGTATGTAGTTGCCATTTGTGAGTGATGTTTTGCATCATTGTCAAAGCTTTTGGTGGTGTAGGAACTTTGGGAAACAAATTTCTGGTTGATATTTCGCATGTGAGAGGTGGAATTTTGTTTTTGTTTATACTTGTTTCTTTCCTTCCTTCTGTTTGTTGTAAAATGGCATTAATGGATGGAAGTGCAAGGGTGAAAGGTTGGTGATGGGAGTTGTTAGAAGTCTTGGTCGGGAACTCGGGATATGATTGACACCAAGAGGTTAAATTAGGGGATGAATCCTTTAAATAGACAGACCAACCTTTTATTTTTTTTACTAGGATTAGAGAAGGGCTAACCTTGCCCAAGTGAGCACATCATGCGAATGTTCCTATCAAGTAGTGGGGATGTTTTATGCCAAACAAGAACAGTAACTAGATTGGTGGCTAGTAGACCTGTTCATAGGCCGGGTGGGCCGGCCCGGCCCCCGGATGGGTTTGAACATGTTTATAGGCCCGTGGGCTTAAACTCGGGCCAAAAAGCCCGGCCCGCAATAAATTCGAGCCGGGTTCGGGTTTTGTCAAAATAGTCCGGCCCGGCCCAACTTAAAATGGGTTATGTGATTATGTCCATTTGAATAAATTTTTTGATTTAAGAATGCAAAACTGTGTTTTAAAACATAAAAGAAAAGGAAAAAAAAACATTTTGTAGGTCCATTGTTCATTTAAATAGGAAAAAAAAACCATCTAAATTTTTAATTTTAATTTGAATAGGGAAAATTGTAATTTTTTTTATTAGGTCGGGCTCGGGCTTCAAACTTTTATCAGGGCCGGGCTTGGGCCCAAGTTATAGGCCCGTTGGTCGGCTCGGGCTCAAGTCTAATGTATTTTCATTAATGACGAGTAAAAGCCCGGCCCGGCCCATGAACAGGTATAGTGGGTAGTTGAATTATTCTTTGGCAAGAGATGACAGGTCCAAGTGCGACCCCACAAAGTTCAAACCTCCCTAATAAGGTGAGGATTGGAGCAGGTAGAGGATGGAAGTAAGAAAAATAATTCACATTGGACAACACCCTCCTTAATAATTCATATCCTCTGTTTGGTAAAATCTACCTTTCTCCTTTGAATTTCACAACGTAATAATCCACATCCTAACTTCTCATCTCCACCCCCCAAAAAAAAGAAAAATAAAATAAAATTGTCTTCTGTTGCCTACTTGCCTTCTTTCCGTCAATTCATTTCTACGGTTCATTCTACTAACCCAATTAAATTACACCACCTGGGATCTTTCTTTTAACATGTTTAGCAGTCTTATCTTATCCATGACTAATGGTGTTAAGCATATCTATCCTATTGAATTTCTTTTGTGCACGAAACCTTCTCTAATTCCTCTCTCTCTCTCTATATATATATATAATCTTTTTAGGCAAATCTTTCAAAAGTTTAAGACCAATTTTTTTTGGTTGTAATTTTTTTCAAAGGTTTTCTCAAAAGCTAGAAATATCGAAAAGGCTATTTGACAAGCATATTTGTGGGTCTTTCTTACATGCATGTGAAACATCATGTGTGAAATCTAGTAATACATTCAAACATGCAAATAGGACTCATGGGTTCTACTGTTCTGCTTACACATTTACCTATGCAAAATATTAAAGTGAGTCTCATTCATGCATTTCCTTGTAAAAGATATCAATGTAGTTCCCATCTACAGATTAATATATGTAGTTATCACCCATGGGCCTCACTCATGTATTCACCTATACAAAAATTCAATGTAAATATTTCCAACAAATAACAAAAAATTATTTCAATACATGTAATTAGTTTAACACATTTTTTCTAGCAAATAGTTCAACACAAACAATTGAATACATGCCATCAAATAAAAACACTATTTATATTGCCCACCTTCTCAAGTTGTAATGCTTTGCCATCTGAAATATGAATTCATCTCACACTAATTTCATTTGTTTATATGTTTGGGACCCAATATTAAGTGTTGTCTGAGGAATATTACACCTAGCACCAAAAAACCATTTAAATATTTATCTTACTTATATGAAAACTTAATGAAGTTGTACAACACACAATATGCCCAAAAAAATGCATTGAATATGGTGGCATCAACTTCAAAATTGGAATTCATATGTTTAAGACATCAAAGCAATGTTTTATAATATCTTTTAATGAAGAATGTACATCATTGAATAGTTCTTCAGCAATTTTAAAATAATTGCCTCTTTCCATGAAGCCTTTTAAGTAATACCTCTCAAAGCAATAAGGGGACAAGAACTCAAACATCTTTGTGTATCTTAAATCAATCACATAATATTTTCCTATGTTGAGCAAAAAGAAGTATTATTTCCACTAACACCTCAAATTATAATTATACCAATTAATAGTTACAACTTGTTGACTTGTATGGGTAAGGGAAACAAGTTTGTAAAGATCATGTCAAATGTCAAACGAACATTTGTCATTTTTTGCGTACATCACATTTTTTGTTGTTACTGAAATACATACATGGACATGTGTTCGTGTGACGTGTGCCGTCCATCGCACCAACACAATTTTACAAGAAACATATACAACAATTATTTAAAATGTAATTTACTAGAAAATAAAATTGTTAAATGAAAATGTATGGACTGTTACCTTAAACCATGGTTAATATTTAGAATTGTTTAGAACCTTAGGCAAAACAACATTAAGGTCTCTTGGTTGCACAGTCCCTTTTTCTATATTCGCGTAGAGCCTTCAGTATAGAATTAAAATGTAAAGATATTGTTTCCCTCAAATAATGAAAATGCTTGGTTGTATATCAAATTGATTTGTAATGGCCAATTATATTTAGTGGTATTTCTATTTGTTCATCCAACGGAGACATATCAACTATCTTTAACCAAACCCCTTCATCTTAAAGAATATACCAAATTGATGAACATATGTGGGGCATGTTTAAATACATTTTAGGATTGTTCAAAATAACATTACACAAATGGTTTAATCTAGTTAATATGTTGTCATGATAGAGTTTCTTGGAATAATATCATTCTTTTTCTAAACTAATATATAGTAATTTCATCTTAAGATGTTTTAACCCTTCATCTTCCTGTACAACTATTACAACTATATGCAACAATTGCTCCCAACTTATATCACTCATTCTAATTTGAACACATATCAATGTTTAACAATCAATAAAAAATAATATCATGCACAATACAACAAAAAAATTCATTCATCAAGTTATCTCTAAAGAAACAAAATCCATTCATCAAGCTATATCTGAAACAACAATTAATAAGAAATGAAGTCCAACATGTCCAAGTAAAGAAAATAAAAAGATTAAACTATATTTCTCTCATGCCTAAAGTTGCCTATCCACAATCTCCTAATATAATTCTTCATAAGTTCAAGTGGCAGCCTTGGATACTACTCTCTTGCAAATGGTTTTCCAAACACTTCATAGATTTTATAATAGTCTCAATACCCTAGTCCTTCTATTATGTTTACATTGGCTAACAGACTAGCCATGGAGTATTTTTTCACTGTTGCATTCAATACATACACCAATATGGTCATCCTAACTCTTGTTAGCAGCTTTAGTAGATTCTATCATAACCTCACTAAAATCAAATGCCTTCTTTCAACCTTCATTCCTAGTTTTTAAAGTAGACTTCAACGACATTAATGATAGCATCATCACTTTCATTTATTTAAAGATGTGGGACATTTTCTGTGGATTGCTCAATTTAGTGTCATTGGCCTGAGATCTAGAAGAGGCTATACCCCATGTGCCAACAAGATAGCAAACCGACTAATAAAGTTGTCTCCCCAAAAGACAGGCGTAAAAGTCACTTATTTTTGTGACCCAACTCATAACCAAACAAGTGGGCCTGGGCATCCAAGAGGTTACCGCCTTTGCTGTCCATGTGACGAACGACAACTAGATCTAGTGTGACAATGTGTGCAAACATTTCCCCTCAAGCTACGAGGACATGGCTTCACAGTTGATCTACATCAATTAGGCTTCAATGGAGCTAATGTGGTTCTAAGGGTCTAATGGGTGAAGCAATTAGGGCATGTGATTTGTGACTAGTTATAGTTGACCATGGACTTATATATAAGGGAGGTAGCATACCATTTGGCGGGATTATGAATAGGGACCCCACAATCACAAGGGTTGAAGATAAAGGTGTCAATGGACTGGTTTTGGATTGAACCCCATCCGGTCCAAAATCAATTTGGACGGATTGGATGGATCAACAAGACATATTGGATTGGATCAATCCGGTCCAAAATATTTATTAGATTGGATTGGACTTGGTCCGTCCGTAACAAATTTATATTGAATTGGGTTGGATTAAGCCAATATCTGGTCTACTGATATAAGATAAGAATATGTGTCAATGGACCAGGTTTGGATTGAAACCAATATAAACCAAAATGAATTTGAATAGATTGGATGATCCAAACATTGAATTGGACCGATCTAAATTGGTCCAAAATATTCATTGAATTGGATTGGACCTGACCCATTTATAATGGACTCACATTGGACTGGACCGGATTAGACCAAATTCAATCCAATTGAAACCCCTAGTTGAAGACATTACTCAAATCATTCTATGGAGGTAGCCAACCTATTTTCATGCACCAAGCCTTGGACCCAACCAGCCCAATTCTTACAACAAAACCTATTCAGTCAATTACTCCATAGGCCTAAAAAGCTCTACATGAGTTACTAGACAAGAAATTTATCCAACCCAGATCCAGTCCATATTCGGCACTAATACTCTTAGTTTAAAAAAATAAATAAATAAATAAAAAATGGATCATAGAGATATTGAGCTCTAAACCAAATTATGATTAAAGACCATTTCCCAATACCTCTCATTGACGAATTGTTGGATGACTTGCAAGGTGCCACAATTAGGGGTGCAATTGAATTTAGTCGAGACAAATTTTGGCATGTCTTGACTCACCTAAACTACAATACTACTAGGTTCAAGCTTGAATTCGAATTTGATATGAATATTTTTTGGTTCAAGCCCGATTCTATTAAAGATTCAATGTAACTTAAGTCTAGATTGAAAGCTTGAAAATGAATATACTTTTATATTTTATAAATTATATGATATAAAGTTAA